TCAACTAATTTAGTAAACGATTAATCGTTAACTGGTGTATAGAAACTCTACAACATAACTTTAGCTGACAGATGGACCCACTTCGAGCATAAATTATACCAAAATTGTAAAAAAATAAATAAATAAATAATAATAAAAATAATAATAATAATAATAATAATAATAATAATAATAATAATAATAATAATAATAAGTACATTAGAGATTTAAAAAAAACTTTATCTGTTAATGCTTTATCCAGAACTACTACAGTGGAAAAGTTTTAATTTCACCTACTTTATTTTGTAAAAAGTCTTCTTTAAAGAATAATTGGCTTAATTATTATTAATCGATTAATAACAAACAATAATCAACAGATTACTCGATTTGCAAAATAATTGTCAGCTGCAGCCCTAATTTCTTTTCTTTACAGACAATGTGACAGTAAATGATGATGTGCGGATGTGGCGCTTTCTTTCAAGCCATAGAAACAACATCAATGACTGATGCAGACATCCTTACAAAAAAGAAGTTTAGTAAATTAAACCTTTGAACAAAACAAACAGGTATTTCAAAAGCGTTTCACCCAAAAGCTGCAGACCTCTGCTCTTTAGCATATTTTAACCGTTCAAAGATAAACCTCTGCTGCAGTATGAGGGCTAAATATCTACTCGGCCAATGAAAAGATGCATGAGGAACTTTAAATGTTATGCAAGCAAACAATAAATACTCCCATGAGGCCTTGTAGCTGCTGCAGAGCGGCTCGTAGTTTTATTGATTATTTTGTCCCAAACAGCAACATTAACGCTGAGAGCTTTAAGGGAGAGCAATGTTCTCAGGATCAGCACACACATTTAAAAAAGATAGCACAAAACAACACTTCCAAGGGAAGGAACCCTAACATGTGTGTATTTAATGTTTGTGTTTTCGTGGAAGCACAAGATTATCAAACTGAAACTTAGCTCTTTTTCTAATCACAGTGACTTCCTTTCCACAAACACAATAACTCTGTATTAAACCCTGATCTCACCTTATTATTTCCTGATACTCGCTCCGTTTCGCTCTCAATCTCCTGTCGGATTTCATCGAAATCTGTGTAGATCTGCAAAATAGAAAAAAAAGATAAAATAATAGAAATGAAACAAAGGCTCCCATCAAAGTCCAGACTACCCTGTCCAGCCACATGAAGGGGAATACCTTATTTTTAGTGTGTAGAAACTTCCCCCACTCCTCCACATCTCTGCCTGTGAGACACAACGAAAAGTAGAGTCAGAGATAAAAAAAAAAAGGAAAGCTTATCAAGGCTAGAAAGAAACTTATGTCTAAAAGAGGCAAATCAAGCACAGCTAATGCAAGGACCAACATCTGACCACCTGTGAGGGTGAGGTTTATCTAAGCAGCTGCAAACAGGGGGTGTGGGTAGCTGAGCTACAAGAAGCTAAACTCTACTGTAAAACGTACGGACATCTGGAACGCTGGAGGTTCTGTTTTTATTCACACCATAGCGTCTGCATGTGGCCAGGAAGAGAGAGACAGACCTTTAAAAATTATTACTCGACTCAGATAGTAAGGAAATATTTAACAGTTATGAAGTTTACCCAGGATTCCACACAACTGCTGATCAAATGCACTTGACTATTTATCCTCAACACCTGTCAACACCTCTATAAAGGGTTCCTACACATGTATTGGTTAAAATAGAAAATATAAAAATACTTTACAGACTTAACTTCACCTTGAGTTCATCTAGAAATATTTAAAAATGTAAAATGAACTGTGAGTTTTGAAATACAGATATCAAAGAAAAGAATCAAGGATGCAAGGAAAGAAAGCAAGAAACAGGAGAGAGAAAAAAGGAAGAACCGACACAAAGAAGGATAGAAGCAAAACATTTAAATGCTTTTTCACACAATCCAGGGCATGAAGGAAAGCTTTCTATAAAAGGGCTGTTCAGGCTCACTCATGGCAACTAAATGCCAACTGAAAAAGGAAAGGCAAGTTTATTCAAATAGAAGATTTCAGGGGGCATAAAGGCATTACAAATTGATTGGTTGACTTTACTGATCTCACAGTGAAGAAATTAACTCTTACATCGGCTCAACAGTCAAAAAGGAGAAGTTGCCAGAAAGAGAAAAAGGTGCATGGGGGTATATACAGTATATACAATGTGTCCATCTATATAACAGCTGAAGTCTCTTATTTAACAGGATTATTATACAGGCAATGTTTAATGATTAAAGAGAATAAAATTAGGCATGAAAATAAGATGATTATAAAAAAAGATATATATGATGGATAAAAATATGAAAGGGAAGTTGAACTGAAAACTTTACTAACTTACTAACTTTAGTTGCTGTCAAAGGCCACAAAACAAATACCTTCATAATCTCTTTTCAAATCAGCATAGGGTTTCAGATGATTTAAATAAAGTTTTCTGAAATTCAACAACATCAATAATAACTAGAAAGTGGGAATGCTTTTTTCTGCTAAATGAAAAAAGAAAATCTGGCCAAAGGAACTGATTAAAGGAAAAATAGCAGAAATTAGCTGAAGAACATATAAAAATGTGATAGGAAGTCAGAAACTTCAAACTGCAGAAAACTATTGAATCTTCTGAAGATTTTTTAGGGTAGAATCATTTGGCAGAGTAATGGCAGAAACACAATCATCTTACTTTTCATGAAATTTGATTAACCAGAAGAAAAAGTCCTAAAGCATCTATTTACCTGGAAATTGACAGAAGTTGCACTGAAAATATTCTTAAAAAGAAAAAGTCCTTTGTAAAAGAAAAGTGTGAAATTTGCAAAATGTAAAGGATGTGTAAAATGCTGAGTTTAACAAGGATTAATACAACAAAAAGGGTAAAAGGTACAGAATCCGCAGTTGTTGATGAACAACAGTGCAAATTTCATGTCTCCTTAAGAGGACGTGGCCATGGTGACGATGTAAAAATAAAAAGCAGAATTTTTAAAGATTTTGGTTTTAAAATGTACTCCTTTGAGGCCCCCAAATGACATAGCGGCCGGGTCAAACCATAAATGATAAATTAAGCATAACCGTGAAAATAAGCCGGCTTTGAGGAACGATTATACCAACTTTCATATTTCTATGCAAAAGGATGTTTCCATGGTAACGATGTAAAAGATTTCAGTTGGAAATTTGACTGATTTGATACAAGACATCAAAAAAATAATACAGGTCTGATGATGATATATGTGCCAAGTTTCATGCTTGTACATCAAACACTTTGGGAGAAGCAGTGATGTGTTATTCAGCCACAGTCTCCCATTACTGTCCTTTCCTAATTGCTTGTGTGATGTTGTGTGGATAAAATGCCTGCAACTCTGGCATATTAAGGTGTATGGATGTCATTCTTGCACCGTTTAATTCATGACGGATACGGGAACGAAGCTTTAGGTTGTTCAAAATGTTTTTGAAAAGATACAGCACCTACACAGCAATCACAATTACTAATACTACTTAGTTGCTGTCAAAGGCCACAAAACAATTACCTTCTTACTATCTTTTCAAATCAGCCAAGGGTTTCACCTGATTTAAATAAAGTTTTCTGCAATTAAACAACATCAATAATAAGAAAAGAGAGGAGTTTCCTACTAGCACCCACCTCCATCCTCATTCTTCCTTCCATCTCCTGGATCTACATGGACCAGCTGAAGGATGAGGGGCCTCCTGGTTACAATGCCAGTCCCACGGGGCAGCAGGTCCCTGCCCACCAGGCTCTCCAGCACTGAGCTCTTTCCACTGCTCTGATGACGTAGAGACATTGCAGACACACCAGCACTCATTAACTGGCCTCTTTTAGATAGCAGGGGCTAATTTAAGATTGTAGGCTGATGGAGTATTTTTACCACAGCCTCTGTAGACATTGTTAGCCGCATCAGCTCTAATAAAAACAACTGTTTTCGCCATGACTATCAATCTTTACAGCTTTCAAATATATATTATGGAGTAATTAAATCAAACACTCTCTAATTATAGTGTTTGGCTTGTTTTTGTGCATTTTTTGAAGCAAGGTTAAGCGGCTATCGACTAGCATGACAGCTGCTATCAACCCAAGCAGTGTTTTACCTGAGTCCCCACCACTGCAATCTGCGGCAGCTGGATGATATCCGTCCCCACGGTGTTAAACACATCCTGGAGCTTGTTTATTACGGGGATAAGAGCCTCCATATTGGCTGTTAGACGGACTTTAAACAGACTATTTATCGATATGGAGCCAAAGTCATTCAATGTCCCCCTAGAACCACCATTCTACTTCTTCTTGAATTTTTTATGGCAGTTGGCAAAAACGTTAGGTGAGCATTACCGCCACCAACTGGTAAGGAGTGTCAACAACCATTCTTACTCTTCTTCTTTTCTATTATGGCGAATCGCAAGCAACTTTGAGGTGTATACCGCCACCTACCGACATGAGCGTGTAGCAACATTACTTTACATCAATTTCTATTTTTTTAATTTTGTGTTCTGTATATAAATAAATAATGCTTTCCTTAATCTGTGAATATCCTTTATATTTCCCTTATTGCCCAATATTCCTTTAAGGCTCCATTCCTGGCCTGTCTTTCCAACCATACGTCTTAATTACTCCCTTTCATGTTCATTAGTTGTACAGTTCATCAGTGCGTGTTCTACATTTTCTTTTCTCCACATCCTTCATATTCATCATTATTTTTCCTCCCTATTAAATATAAATTGTCATTTAAACAGGTAGACCCACTCTGATGATTATTACTTCTTCCCCCTCTGTTTCTCTCATTAATGATTCTATTTAATATAAATTGTTGTACCTTATATAATCCTCTCCCTTTCTTATTTTCGTTCCACCTCTTTTGCCATTTCTCCTTTTTTTAAAACTCTTAATAAGTGAACTACCTTCCCCTTTCCCAAAAGGAACCACGGCAGAGTAAGAATAGAGCTGGGAGTTGTAGTTCTTAGAGTGGAAACGACCCAAAAGACTACAAATCAGCTGCGATGACTAACGGAAGCGAAGGTCATTTTTCACGCGCATGCGTAGAAGTTGAAAGACGGGCTAGCTTTATCAGTTAGCTGGTTTGGATCATTTAACTTTGACAAAACCTCCTCTTTTAAAGCTATAAAGTTTATATAATCGGTGTGTTACTTAATAACTTAAGCAACTTCGTCATGTTACAGTTTTTGGTGAGTTTTGTTTTCTTTTTATGCCAGACATCCTCCGTTTTCCAAGATGCTATCCGTAGCTACCATAGAGTAAATGTTAGCTGTTAGCGCTTCATGCTAATAGATCTGTTAAAGTTACAAAAAACAAGGAGAAAATATCAAGTATATATCAAATATTAAGATGTCAGAAAAGCTCAATAAGATTCAACCAAGTTTGGTGCTCAACATTAGATGATTGTGCCTTTCTTATTAACTGTAATAAAACTTATGTATTATTTTTTTCCTTACAGGCTGGTTTCACGTTGGGGAATGTTGTGGGGATGTACCTTGCTCAAAATTATGAAGTAAGCTGTTTCTTAATTTTTATGAATATATTGTTTCTAGATCTTGTCATCAACTCCATTGTTTACTTCTTTTTTTATTTTATTTTTTTACATTTTTTGTGCTTACCTTAAATTCTCTTTTCCTTATTGCCTTTTTAAATCTTCTCTCTTCCTAGTTTATTTCCTTCCTTTCTTACTTGCATCCTTCTTTCTATACTTCTTATTTCTTCTTTTATATCCTTCCACATTACTCCTTTATTTCTTTTTTGTAGGTTTCCCACCTTTTATTAAATTATCTACCCTTAATGAAACTTTTGATATATTAGACTTAAAATTTTTGTTTGATCAGTATGTATAAAGCCTGCTCATCCAGATTAAACCAAGTATTCTTTATCTTATTTGATAATTATGGTGGTTTTTACTTAAATAACCAGATTCTAAGTGTGAATTTTGACCTCTGCTTAGGTTCCCAATATAGCCAAGAAAATTGAAGCTTTTAAGAAGGACGTGGAGGCCAAGAAGAAGCCACCAGAGTAACCAAAACAGGATTGTGCAACAAACAAGAGGAGACATCTTCCACTGAGATTATTTATTCCACTGGGTTTCATCGACTCTGTGGGGTTTGCGTTTGCAAATGTCCATTTGTAAATGTGTATAAAAATATAAGTAATTCCAGGACAAGCGTTTCCCACCTCAGTTATAAATCCTTGTTCCCAATGTAGCCTTCCTCATTGAGTAAACAGTGCGGTAACTGGATTTAAAGAATAATGCAGCTAATTGGTGGGAATCACTTCAAGTCCAAGTTGGCGGCACTGGTTGCCTGATTTTTCCGTAATGCAGTGTGATGATTTTGCTTGAAGTGCATTGCAAAAGCTACGCAAAAGCTGCCAAACATTTTGACACGTTTTGATGAACGCTGTTCTACATCCTTAAGCCTTTAATAAAGTTATAGAAAATGACTTTACAACTCTGTCTCATTATTTAGAGTTTTCACTATAATCTGTTCTTTCAATAGATGGCACTATTACCCTTTAGTGGTTAGCAGATCGGATCGTTGTTTTTCGGATCGTTGTTTTTCTTCTTGTTCTTTTGGAGATTTGGCCACCCAAACCCCCTATACTCCAAGCAGTCTGCTGCATTGTGACAGATGTAGCAGAGGCTCTCTATGGCTGCAGGGCTGAAGATGTCCACCTCCATCTTAGTGAATTTGGTAGAGCTCCCAGTCTTTTTGGCAGACTGAGCTGAGGAATCTGGGCTTTATGGGTTTGTCAGGAAAGATAATTCGTGGTGATTTTTCTGTATATACAATAACAGGCTTTAAAAATAATAGAAAAAAACTTAAAATATTTTACCATAGTAAAAAGATAATGAGATACTTTTATATATCTGGAAGACGCATGATAAACATATCATGAGATACTTCTAATATTAAATATGAGCAGAAAATTATCTCTTACCAGTGGGCTTGGCACATTTTATGGTGGCAACCAAACGGGTCCTCGTGAGAAGTGATAACCCATATGTTTGCATCCTGTTGGCTTGGAGACCGCAGAGGCGGCATGGAATCCTGCGACCTCTGCACTGTTTCTGTTGGGAAAATGAAATGCAAAATAAATCCACAACTCTCTTCGGAAAACAAACCTGATGAGTTTAATTTAAATTTGGTGAAAAACATCCATTGGTTCTAGGTATGCTGATGTGTCCACTCCTAAAACTAGGATTTGTTTCACACAAAAGCTATGTTGTTCTCTTTTAATGAGGCAAATAAAAAGAAAATCTGTTCTTTAAACCTTCTTTAGTTCAGCATCAATCTATTTCTATGTAAACATGCACTGTTAATAAAAGCTGAGCAGCACTGATCAAAAAAATGTATTCCTAGATAAAAAAAAGGGACCTTTTTTTAATGGTTTCTCAAATTTATTCATAAAAAAAACAGGGTTCACCCTAATAGGCTTTGACAGTCTTTGCTGGTAGGTTCTACTGGTAAGTTGTTTCCTTTTATTCAATCTGATGCAAATCAGTGAATGAAAGGAAAACATGTTTTTATATTTCACATTTCAACATGAAATGCATCTGGGATTTTAATAATATTGGAAATCCTCCTAACTAAACTTTGCCACATGAAAAGCATTGTAAAGCCTGAGGAAAAAAAAAAAAAAAAAGTGAAAAATATATATTTTTCAGATTAAAATAAAAAATTAACAGACCCAAGTCTGCATATCCATGTTTACATTCCAAAGTTTATTTTGCTGTTATGCACGATATGCAAAATAAATAATTGCTGATTTGTTGCAGCAAAAACTGTTCTATTGGGTTTTAGTTTTGAATTTGATAAATAGATAAAAGTAATGAGTGTGTTTGCAAATACTTAAAAAATAGGTTTCTCACCTGCAGCTTAGACTTTACTGAAATGATTCAGGGTTTGTTTTCTGTTTCATTTGCTGGTATTTAAGCTAACCACAAAGAAAAAAAAAAAAAAATCAACAAATACATTTCTTTAATGTCTTAATTCTGACAGTTTGCTTAGGTGATGCATTCAATTACAGAATGTTTTTTTTTGGAATTCGTATTTAGCCTTTTCTTTTTGCCGGCTCGATGTACTGTATTTGTAAATCAGATAAACCTCAAAGCTTTATTTGCAAGGAACTGTTGAGTGGATTTTATCGCTTGCAAAAACAACAGTTGTCTTTAGAAACAGACACCGTCTCCCGCCTTCACTCCAAAACCTTTCCATTCACATAATAAAGTGTAATTATGACAGAAAAATACATTCAGCAGATTTAAAAAACATCTCAACGCCATGCAGCAGCTCTTGGATCACTCAGTCGTGCAGTACAAATACACATTTGCATGCAGTCACATAAAAAAAAATGAAGAAAATCCAATATGGATCCAAGAAAACAGTGTTGTGTTACACACAACCCAAAATAAAACTGCTGTATACAAAGTTTACTTGACATCAAGTGCAGGAAAACAGTGCATGGAATCAAAACATGAAAGATTAATAAATAAGACTTCATCATCTGCATAGGTGTTTTTTTTTTTAAAGCATTTTTTCCCCTTTATGCAGTAACATAAATTCATGCATCCAATGTCTTAATTAGTGAAGTAAAATACCAGAGTTTCCCTTTGACAATATATTTATTTATAGTCCATGGCAGAGCTCCACTCATTTAAGCCCTTAGGGGGATCGTGAGGCTTCCAGCTGGAGAGTTACTGAGTGGTTATAAGTTGGACGATCATGCGGATGATGCGAGAACCACGGGGACAGGTGCATAGGTCCATGCTTGGGTTCCTGATTTTATCTTCCAGCAGCTGGTCCAGCTCCCAGCGCAGCTCCTTTACCAGCTCAGCCACCTGGGAAACACAAACGATGGTTGGTTGGTAGAGATCTTAACTTTTTGAGAGGATCTGAATGGGATTCAACACCCAAGTTCTAAGCAGGGGAGAAAAGAAAATGTTTAAGCTGTATGTAGGTGCTCTGGGACCTGATGCGAAGCTGCAGCGAATCGGATCCACCCGTCATCCAGGGAGATGACAAACTCTCCTTTGTGCAGCTCCACGTTGACCTGACCCCCTCCGAACAGCACCAGCGGGTAGACGGACACCATGCTGCAGTCCCTGATGAAAATGCGGCTCGTCTTTACCTTCTCGTGGTAAACCAGGTAGGGACTGTCATAGTGGCGGACCTAAGAGAGGAAAGAATATTATTACATTTTCCTGAATGGGAAACAGTCGTTTCGTGAAGCCCCAGCTCACCGTGTAGTTAACAGACGATGGGTGAACGTGGACGCAGCCGTCGTTCTTGGTCATAAAGCGCAGCTCGTTGGCTTTCGGTTGCATCTTCATTGCTCCCTTGCTGGTCATCTTGTAATTCCCCTGAGGTGCTCGTACCTGGATCAAAAGAGGGATCAAGCGTCACTTCATTGTGAAGTCGCTGCTATGAGCTGAGATTTGAAAAGGTGATTCACCTGGACGACGTTTGGATAGAGAGCTGCACACAGCATTGCAGACATCAGACGGATGTTATCCGAATTAAGGTTGGCCTAGGAGGGAGAATATGACAAACCTTAAAGGTGCTGTTCACTTTTTAGACAAAAAGATGAATTCAGTGAGTATATATGATTCACCTCAGGTCCAGTAGCCTCTAAAACACCATCCGTTCCCTTTGAGGAAAGACGTTCAATAACTCTGGCCCTCAATCCCTCCTTAATGAAGCCGATGTCCGACAGCAGCTCTGCAAACTGTCTCTTCAGGCTGGCGATCTCCTGAATGGGGCACGCCGTTGAAGATTTGGAGGTTCATAAAAGGATTTCACATTATGAACAACACATTTATCTGTAAAGATTGCTTTGATCTGAGGCTCTGCTGCTACTTTCTCACCTGTAAACTGCGCCAGGACAGGAAGTTCTCCCTACAGTAGAGGAAGCCGGCCTGGTTACCGTTCTTTGCAGCGCAGCACCAACCCTGCCAGGGACAGAGATGATCCGTCACACGGCTTCTAAGTAAAACTTCGCACACTACTACAGACAGCAAGAGAAATCATGGAAAACAGACTAATAATTCTACAGGATAGAAAATGATTGGAGGAGTCACTGAGATAATTAAAGAACATGGAATTCATCTTCTTTTTAAAGACAACCTGTAAACAGAAATAAAGATAATCAGATTGTGAGCAGAGTCGGTACCTTGTATGCTTGTAACAAAGCCAGATGGTCACTGTTAGCCAATGAGAAGGCAAGCTTCTTCTCGCCAGCTTCCTCTCTCTTATCCCACGGAGACACCTGGAAACATTGCACATGTCCAAACCTCTTATAATAAACTCAAAATGACAGTACTAAATAAAATATAGATCTAGAGTGTCATGTTTGCTTACAAATGGAGATTTAAAGGCCAGACTGGCGGCGATGGTGAGCGCCGGGTCGAGGCAGCGAAAAATGGCGCCAAACAGCATCAGTTTTCCTATGCGCACGTCGACAGGCAGGCAGGCCAGGTGGTAGCCCAGCGGGGTCAGCTTCTCATCTGCGGTCAGAGCACCCAGGTCCTGGAGACGCTGCCTGGCAGCGTCCAGGCTGCCTTCAGCCGGGGGCTCGATGAGCCGAGAGAAGACCGACTCCAGCGGCTGTTCGGCAAACAAATCCAGGATCTTAATTCTGTCAAAGAAATGAGAAAAAAGTGGTTTCACATCATAAACCCTCTAAGTGAAGGCAAACGGCGTTGGGTGAGGACGCTACCGGAGGCAGAGCTGCTCCAGAGGGACTCTCTGGATCTCAGGCAGCTGCTGCTCAGCCAGCTGGTGGTGGAAGCAGTGGCTTGTGAAGAGATGGAAGCAAACCCCAGAGGCCACGCGACCTGCTCGACCTTTCCTCTGCAGCGCGTTGGCTCTGGACACCCACGAGTCCTCCAGGCTCTCCATGCTTTTGGATGCGTCATACCTGAGAACAAGCAGCGCAGCATGGAGCCGTCTCAGACCATTTTAGCGAGGATTAAGTGTGATTAATCTAAGGGAAATGCACAGCTGACCTCTTTTCCTTCATCTTGCCAGAGTCAATGACGTAAACCACGTCGTCGATGGTGACGGAGGTCTCAGCGATGTTGGTGGAGATGATGATCTTCGTGACGCCCTCAGGAGGGCGGCTGAAGACGGCCTGCTGCTCCTCGTTGGATAAGGTTGAATGGAGGGGGTACACCACACACCTGACAGTTGGGACAAACGCAGCAGGTGTTGCATCTGCAAACTAATGAGCTTCATTTTCCTTTTTCACGAGCCGACTATCATGTAGTTGTCCAAAGATCTTAAAATTTATCTTTTTATTGCAGGAGCTATTATCTTAAATACAAAATAAGCACAGGACAGGACAGCTTCTCTTTTCTTTATTTGATTTAATATAAAGATTTTCTAAAAGACTGAGGCTGCATCCTGTTTGTCAACTCATTTAAAATGGCGTAACCACTATATAGTGCCCTATATAGTGGTTACGCCATTTGAAATGAGTGTCCGAACATCTAGTGGATGAATGAGTAGTGGACTCGAAATTTTCCACAATGAAAAGTATAGGGTTGGGAATTGATAAGATTTTCACGATTCCGATTCCCTTATCGATTCTGTAAAACAATTCGATTCCTTATCGATTTTGTGAAACGATTAGATTCTTTATCGATTCTCTTATCGGTTCTGTGAAACAATGAACTTGGTAAGCGCACGGTGACTTTCGTCTACCTTCGCCTGGGAGATTCTATTTCTGCCTGCCTCGGAGAAAACAGAAGGCAGTGAACGGGAGCTGCCAGCCTCTGAGCCAGCCAGGCTACCCGTCTCATCCCAGTCATCTAAATCTAATGGAGAAGGCATCCGTTTAATGAAAAAGCATTACTGTAGCATTACTGGAAATAAACTCATCTCCCCCTGATTTAAATAAACAAGCGTCACCTTTCTCTCGCTCCCTGAACTGCGGAGCAACTTCATTGCATGCTTCCATCCATTGTAATAGCTAGAAATCATGTAAGCATTCCAGCTACCAGTAGTTCTAATTAAACATGCTAGCAATGCCTTCATGGCCTTCATGGCTGGTTGTAATTTTAGCTTCTGTCCGGAAGCATCAAAAACACGGCATTTGTTCAATGGATGCCATGTTGTGTGCGCAGGCGTTTCTGCACATGTATTTCCTCCCGCGGATGTTATTGCCACTTTGCAATGATGGTTAAGCACCTTCTTGCCATCTTTCTCTTCCTTAAAATGAAGCCAAACTTTCGATCTCTTTGACTGCTTTTGTTTTGCTTTGCTAGACTTACTCCTGGTCACGTCGTACTTGCCTACTGAATGCCGTGTGCGTAACTTGCGTAAAAAACATGCCGTAAGTCGTGCTGCCCAGAGCTAGGCTCTGGTGCTGCCTGGAATCGTTACGAGAATCGTTAAGCGAGCTGCCAAACGGTACCATGGAATTGATCCACACGGAACCGGTTCTGAACAGGAACCGGTTTTCGATTTCCATCCCTATAAAAGTAATAATCATCCATGGTCACTAGAAGAGCAGATATATCCCGGAATGCATTGCTAAGATAGTTCTCCTTGCAAAGCATTATGGGATTTGCTATCACAGTGGCCCACTGTCGCCAATGGCTGTTGCTACTTGACAGCGGCAACTTATATCAAAGATGGCGCAGGCACCGTATGGGGAGGTGGAGTCACGCGACCAACGGGGAGTGAACAGTAGTGAATATAGTAAAGTCCACTATATTGTTCCCACTCTATATAGTGAAGGAGGGATCTAGGGGTTAGGGCGGACATTCGGGCACAGCCAGAGTCTGGAAAAAGGTTACCTTAGTTTCTGGTGACCCATTTCTACATTCATTAAAGCATGTGATTTGGATCTTTCACCTGCTGAAAAACCAAGCGACACCTTCTGTTTTTTTTATAAAGGCTACAGGTTTATATTCAATGTGGGTTTATTTTTTTTCCACTCATTTATTATATCAAAAAGCCCCACAGCATCACAGATCCTCCACCGTACTTTTGACAGATAATGTCAGGCTCAACTGAAGTTTTGTTAAATTAAACACCTGCTTCAGCTACCTTTTAAACATTAAATTTAGGGGATGTAAGCGATTATGGACTTTTATGCATAAAATAAATAAATAAATAAATAATACTTTTAATTTTTGCCATTTCTCATCACTGAATAACTATACAGAAATTAAAGACTTTCCGTAAAAGTAAAAAAGAAATTCACTGGACTTGGTTTCCAAGATTTGAAGACCCTGAAACCAAGTCCAGGGAATTTTTTTTTTTAACTTCTACGGAATGACTATGACCTGGATGACTGAGAATCTTCCTCAGCAAATTAAAGACTTGTTTTTATCAAATAATAAGTTAAGCTAAAGCACGAAAAGTGAATCTTTTTGAATGTTTTCCACATATCTTTACCAGAGGTGATGTTAAATATCCCAGCAGTGTTACTGTAAACCTTAACTTTTCCATTAATTGGTATAAAACTCACAAACCTTGATGTTCGCCTGTTGTTAAAAATCCTGTTGGACTGCAGCTGCTCATAGAGCATTTTAATCTCAGCCAGACCCGGCAGGAACACCAACACCGCACCTGCAATAAAACCAATAAGGAATTTTAGATACCTGGTTTCTACAAAGTGTCTGGATATAACCTGAGTGTGATAAAGTGGTACCTGGTGGGTAGCTGTGTTTTCCATCCACTATCCACTCCAGCAGACTCTCCACCAAGTCCATGTTGATCTTGTCCAGGTCCATCGCAGCAATAGTTTTAAGGACAGACTTTTTCGTATCTACACAAGCAAAAGCAGATAATTAAACCCGAGGAGTGATTTAAGGGTGCAGAAGGCTCACTTCTTCTAAACTCACCTTTATATCGAACTGTGAGCTCCTGCAGGTTGAGCTGCTGGTCTGGAACAGAGTCTTTAACAAAGTCTTTCTTATAGAAAGACATGAAGTTCCACACGTCATCGCCTAAATCGTCCACCATGTTCCTCGGATCACCTTTACCTCCTCGCCCACTCGTGGAAGACGAATTTTGTTTCCCTGAGCGTAAATACGGGCTGCCGTCCTCAATGACATAGCTGGAGACGCATCAGAAAGGATGGCCACACATTTTTATTTCAATATTTACTCAGACTTCTTTCCCAAACTCATCAAGTCCAAAAATGTTGAATCGAATCTCAGTTTAATTAGAAGAGAAGGGGAAGTGGTTACCCAGTTTTAGCGATGGCGTCTTCAAGGAAAAACTGGTCAACAGGGAAAGTACGTCCTGGAGAAGAACAAGGTGGATTAAACTGATGAATGAGAAGCGGCGCCATGTTTTTTACTGCATATCAGAGCGAGTACCCGGTATATGGATGGTGGGACAGTTGTAGAAATACTCTGAGAAGAGGTTGGCGTTAAGGGTGGCACTCATTAAAATAATCTTCAGGTCTTGCCTCTTTGTAATTAGATCCTTTAGCACCAACAGTAGGAAGTCACTGCATGTGAAAACAAACAGATGAAGATTAAAAAACGTTACAGTTTTTGCATATAAAGGCGTCTGAATAGCTGACCTTTCTTCCGTTCTTTCGTGCACCTCATCCACGATAACGTGCGAGACGCCCCTGAGGTCGGCGTCGCCCTCCAGTCTTCTGAGCAGCACGCCTGTGGTGCAGTACAGCAGCCTGGTGGCAGATGTCTGATAAAAAATGTCGGGGAGTCAGGAAGCAGTGCATTTTACGAGAGATATAAGCCGGCACGTGTGCATACCCTGACGCTCTCCAGGCGGATCTGGTAGCCCACAGAGTTCCCCAGAGACTCGGCGCGCTCCTGTGCGACTCTCTGAGCCACGGAGATGGCAGAAATACGGCGAGGCTGGGTGCAGATGATGTTGGCCACGTCTGGGGCGGGGCCGCACAGAGAGGCGTCCAGGATGAACTGAGGAATCTGAGTGGTTTTACCACACCTGCAGGGGATAAAAGGTTTAAAGAACAGAAAAAGAAGAGACTAACGGAGCTTTTATTGGATCACCTACCCCGTCATTCCACTGACCACCAGAACCTGACACCTGTTCAGCTCATCCAGGATTTGCTCTTTTTCTTGCCAAGCTGGAAGGCTCCTCCGCTGCTCCAGCATGGATTTAAAGCGCCTCGAAGACTGAATTAGAGATAAAAAATAAAAAATAAGACTTCAGGATCCAAATTTACCTATAATGTTAGGAAGATTTTTTTTTCCCAGTAGATCAACCTGTTTCCTCTGGAATTCCCGACACAGCTTGGCATTTTCCGGCAGAAGGTTCTCCACCCTCTGACTGTGCTTGCTCTCCATCTTCTTCCTCAGGTTGACGTAGCTCTCCGTCTCGACTGGGACAGCTTCAACCTCCACCTCCTCTTCAGGCTCCTCTGCCTCTCCGTTCTCTTTCACTAAAAAGAAAATCAGGAAGCGTCAGTATATAGAGGTGAAAAAAAGTCAGATATCTGGGCTTCTTGATGACTCACCATCTGATGTTTTCTGGGTAGCGGGTGGGGCGGCCCTCCTGCTGTTTGCGCTGCTACTCCTGCTCTCCTCTGAGGCGCCGCTCCTCACACTCTTACTCTTTGCGATGGACAGAGAGGTGGGTTGTGGTACCAACATGGGGGGAGGTGTGCTGTATTTGTGATGGCTGAGAGCTAGAAGCTCCTTCATGCTGAGCTCATCCTCACATAAGGTGATCAGGGTGTAAACGACAGGCTCGCCGCTTTTCGCCGCAGACAGCGCCTCTTCGAACAACCTCTCGGTGACACAGAGTCTCCCCGCAGCTCCAACGGACTCATCATTGGTGCTGAAAGCCACTATCGGCGCCTGATGAGGATAACGGCTTCCTTTAGGGAAGCGGACCTCCAGCTCATATTCTGGAGGGGAATAGCTGCTGATGCCAGGCATGCTTGGGCCATCCAGGTCCGAGGAACCAGTCACAGACTTTTCCTTTCCTGGGAGTTCGTGCCTGAACCGACATTTGTCGCCGAAGCGGCAGCCGCGGTCTTTTAGGTAGAATTTGCAGACCTCACGGCTCTTTTTGCTCACAGCTGCTCCTGTGATTTTAGCTGGTTTCTCTGAGAGGAACGGCACATCCAAAGAAACCGTCCACACAGAGTTGGCGATTCGCTCCGTGAAGCGCTCTCCATAAATAGCAGCAAGCGCCAGGGCTTCCTCCTGCCTCTGGCTCAGGCATTCATCCATCGGCACCCCCTGGAGGTCATCAGGGAAAACGGCTTTCTGTCCATAGCGTTCGCTGAAGACTTGAAGGAGGAGCTGCTCCAAGGTCGCCCCAAATTCTCCTCCACCGGACTCCAGAGCCTGTTTGGCTCTCTCTCGGTCAAAGCCATATCTTTATAGCGGGAAAACAAAAAGGTTACTGAAAATAAATTACTACAATGTTTTTTATTTGTAATTTAATGGAGTTTGCATCAGAGAAGCCATTTTATTTATCAGTCCTGCTAAATAAAATGTGTTCTGAGCCACAACTTCTAAAAATAAGACCATATATTTGATAAATATCTGCTTGACTGCCATTTTATGTGAAAGGATTTAAAATAAAAGCATTGATAGCTTAAAAAAAAAAGAGGATAAATACAGCTGGGGTATTGATATTTACGGAAAATTGTGTTTGAAATAAAAATAACATTTCAATCCTGATCTCAAGAATAATAAATTTATATAAATATAAGCATCTTTTAGTGTCAAATTGTGGTGGAAATTTACTGTGAATATCCAATAAATATTGGAATTTTTATTATATCTTTGTTTTATAACATTGAATTTAATTAAAGTCAATTAAAGTAAAAGGTCCAAAGAGCAACACCTTGCAGACTCTTTTTCAAATTCATTGAGAGACTACAGTAACTCAGTTCTTTGCTCAAATGGAAGCACAAATTTAACAAAATACAGTTTAATTTTGAAAGAAAGATGGAAAGGCACAAGGTAAACAGGACAGCAGGAAGAAACGGAAGCAGCGAAGGAAACAAAGAAGAAACATGCAAGGTAGAAAGTGACTAATGAAATATGCAGCTTTCGATAATTATGCATTAAATAACATGCATTGAAACCCAGATACAGGAGCAGCAGTAGTGGTTTTTGGCCTTAATTGAGCTTTAAAGATCATGAGCGCCATCATGTGATTACCTGCAGAGTTTTCCGATGGCAAATAAAGAGATGATGGGTTCAGGTGTGGGGCGTTCCTCCTCCTCTGGGTCATAAGCAGGGCTCTCTGCTCGCTCCACAGGCTCATCATTGGTGACCCAAAACTGGCCTTCATCACGGTGGTCCAGTTTATCAAATTCCTCATCCTCCTTATCTGAATAATCGGAGCCAGTATCACTGAAGAAAAAAAGAGCCAAAAAAATGATTATTTTTTTTTAACCCTTTTTCTAATTGATTAAAAATGCACGTTTAGAAGGGTTTGCTCACTCGTAAGGCTCATCAAAATCCTGCGTCTGTAGTTCCCGCAGTAACTCCTTCAGCTTTTCTTGGTTGTCACTGGTCATATGGATCCTCTGTAAGGGCATGCTGCTGGTCTCTGGCCTGTTGCCATTGCCTGGTTTTGGAGGGATCCTGGTATTCACCAAGGACCTGGGGAGAGGCTTTCTATCACTTCTTAATCCCCTTCCTCGTCCTTCGTCTCTCCCCCTGGCACGGCTGCCACCGCCACCGCCGCGTCCTTTTGGAGCTCTGAGGAGAAAGAGGTAGGTTTAAATAAAAGAAAAAACTAAATTAAGTATGAAAGCAGTAGATTTTTAGTTGTGCCTTATTACCTGCTGGAACGAGACGGTCCAAAATCAAGGCTGAAATCATCATCATCATCGTCCCAGCGAGCAGCTCCTCCTCCCTTCCGACTTCCACCTCCACCGCCTCCTCCACCTCCTCTTGGCTTGTTAAACCTTCCTCCTCCTCTGTTTGGCTTCCCTCCTCTTCTCCTTGCATTCATCTTTCTGGTCAGCAAACACAAGCAGTCCAGTCACACTCTATTCCTGAGTTTCACTACCAGCAAAATGCTAAAAATAAACTCCCTTAAACTTTAAACAAACCTTCAGTCAGTGCTCCTTCATGGCTGTGAACCATCTGTGAACAGAGACAGAAAAAGAAGAGCAGATCAGATGTGTGTATTCTCAGCTTTAAGAGCAGAAAAGTAGGCTATAATCCTCAAAACGGGAGACGAGAAAGCTGACGGACACAGAGCCGGGCAGAGCGAGACAGCTACTGTAAAGGCACGTCGGAGCAGAGAGTCGCTAATAGCTGAGGGGAGATTTCAATTCAAGTGCAAAGCAATGAGATGGTGGCTGACACACAGCGCTGTTGGCTGCAATTATGCAATCAAACTGCAGAGTAACAATCCCAGCAGGGCCGTTCGGTCCGGAGGCAATGCGGCTGCTGAGGCGTATTATTAGCCAAAGAGCTAAAAGTGAGCATCATGGGGGCATGTTAGAAATACTACAAATTGTAAGAAAGTCAGATATGGGCCACTTAACATTTTGTCACATCCTTTGTTTTTTCTGGGTCTGTTTTGAATGAGACGTTTCAAACAGGTTTTCCTTCTCCCAGTTGTGAATTCTCCACAGCGTGCTTTAAACTCCACAGTACCATCGCCTCAGGATGTACAGCAGATTATCCACACTTAAATATACCTAAAAAAAAAAAAAGATTTAATCATCTAACATTTCATTCCATGATAATTTTTTTTTTAATGTTTTTTTAAATGGCTAAAATCCAATCAGTTCCACATTGTTTACAGAAAGGCAAAAATATTTTGAGTTGGGCTTGTGGTTAGAGCAGTGCGCTTGTGCTCTGAGAAGGTTGCAAGAACCCCGTTGGATCCCCACAGTCTACAATCTGGGTTCCTGAGCAAGACCCTTAACCCCTGACCCTTAACTCCCCAAGGGGATGGGTTAAATGCAGAGGTAAATTTCTCCAGTGTAAGATCAATAAAGTTGAATTATTATTATTATTATTATTATTATTATTATATAAAAAATGACATATAATGATTTGTAATTGTCATTACAGCAGACTTGTGAAATATCAGGAAAAATATTAATTTCAGGGCTATTATATATAGGGGTGGGTATTTTCGCCAAACTCCTGAATCAATTTGATTTTGATTCATACAGGTCTGAATCGATTCATTTCGATTCGTTCTGTTTTTACAACAATAAAAGTGATTCAACTGTGTTTCAAAATACTCATGTATTTTGTTTTTTCCTGTCACATTAAACACAAATTGCAAACTTGTAAATCAGACAGTTTAAACATGAGATGTGAACAAAACTGTCCCAAAAGTGCAAACTTTTGAAAAGTGAAAAAGTGTAGGCTCACTCGAGCAAGCAGACGTGACACAGCAGACATGCATGAGCTGCATTATCTTCACTGCACAAACCATATTTTCAGCGTTGTCTGTAAGAACTACAGGGTGTTTTCTGGTCAGCCCCCATTTGTTAATGTCTTCAGTAAACCTGTTGGGTATATTTGCAGCTGTCTGGCTTGAAGTAATCTTGAGCGCATCTTTCCTGCTTATTTGAATGTGAACGTCACACGGGTGACTACAAAAGGAATCAATCTCATTCCTTAGACATTGATTTTGCAAAAAATGTAAAGGAATCGATTAAATAAATTTTTTTACACAGCCCTAATTTTATATATATATATATTTATAGTATTAACTTTTTTAGCTGTATTATTGTATGCTTCTTCCTGAAAGTGTGCAGCATTTTGGAGAGGAATGGCGATCCTTAAAAATCTATAATAAGACTAACTAAAACACACAGTTAAAGATGAAAAGTTTTACCCCACTTAGAGCCTTTGTGGATCTCAACAGTCTTGTTTTCCAATGTTTCCTCAATATTAATTAACAAAAAAAAGCATTAGATGTTTATGTTATACATATATTTTGCTTTTATAAAATAAATCAATCCCTATTGGCTTTAAATCAAGACAATGTTGATGCTTTCTAATAACTTGATGTTTCAATATGCCCCAATTTAAAATAGTAAGGATGTCATTTAAGATTTAGTCTTTAAAACATTCCCTTTAAAACTTAAAATTGAATAAAAGCCTGTTTCAAAATTTAAAGAAAGAAAAATAAATAGTTTTATGGAGACGAGCTTCTCTTTTGACTTTCTTTTTGATTTAGCACTTTGTCACCTAGTAGAGAAGCTAATTTTGTTTTGTATTTTCTTAAGAACAATAAAAAGCGTTTTTAAAATGGCGATGGGATGTTATTATACAACTATATGTCACCATATTCTATATATATCAAAGATCCTCTTAACAAGTAACAGAAAAAAAGTGTAGAAGTTATCAGAAAAAATAAAACCAAAGTAAATCAGAAGTGGCAGTAGATCATTATATCACAGGGCCCTTAGTTCCTCTAAATATGTAGCCAAAAAGATACATTAACTGATACGCAATACTTTTTTCTTCTACTCAGGAACAAAACGATTTGTTAAAGAGCATGAAATAAAGGTAGCAACTGACCAGGGAACTCCACCATCTTTGTTAGCTAACAAGCTAAAGCTAGCAAGCTCACTTCTAACTTCTACTGTACCTAGCTGTTACAGGTTTCTCCCACATAATTCTCCCATTTCACAGTTAAGATTACAAATAACCTCCGATATATATCATTAACGATAAAACCGAATATAAACATTTTTATAAATAATAACTTTTGATAAATGAACACCTTAAAAGCTGCTACTAACTCACCCAGCTCACCCAGCTTTTCAATTGGACGAAGTTCCGAGTTCACGCTTTGCTTTTCCGGTTCTTTTGTTGCGTAAGAAGAGTTTTAAAATACAATAAATTATTATTATTTACCACTAGACAAGCATAGCACTTTTATCTATTAATACGAAAAAAAAATCCTATAAATTATTAATTTTCCTCGTTGAGGGGGCGGGGTCTTGAATGCAGACACTGCAAATAGCGTGGTGTACGTCATTACGTCATAGGATATATCTTTAGTGCCGCCTCGTACATGTTATGATTGGCTAGTGAAAATGTGCGCAGGTCCGCACAAATATTAAAGGATTATCTCCACAATTTGTCAAAATGACAGCAAATATGCGGACATAAATAATAACAACAAAATATATACTATATTATTCAGTTAAATAGTTTAAATAAATATATTTTAATATCAATCGTAAATGTTTAAAAAAAATAGAGAAAAAGCATAGAGCTCCGGTAAATATAGAATGAATAAAAGTGAAACAAAGATAAAATATTACAATTAAAGATAAAACAGAAATGCATATGCATGATGAATTTTTTTACATCTATATCTTATTTTCATTTTTCAAATAAATATATTATTTTCATTTACTTTGCTGAATTTAATGGTTCACTAGTTCAGTTTTTAACCAGGGGATTTCTTTTAACAAGTAATTTAGTCTTTTTTTATTTTTTATTTTCTTCATTACGGCAGGATTTGTCCTAGATGAAACTATTAGGTTTTAAAACGTAGTTGTTCAGATAATCTAAGCCATATTTCCTTGATTCAGTCCAGTGCGGACCCCGCCCCTTTTCTCAACCTGGAATGGGGCCGCGTTAGCGCCTCACTGTTACCATGGTAACACCTACAAGCGTTTAGCTGCCTGAACTCGTTGTTTGTGTAAAACATTTTTACATTTTGGGCTAAACTACACTTTTTTTTTTTTTTTTTGAAGCGCAGCAAAAATTTATCTTTAACGGTTCATTTATTCTCCTTATCAATTTTTCTTTTGTTTATTGCAAGGGTGAAACAGCGTCCTAAAACCATCTGCCAACAAAGGGAAGCTATTACAGGATGACAGGTCAGGTTTAAACATGAACATGTCGTGGAAAAAAAAACCCAAAGAAACAAATATATATATATATGATTCTGTCTTCTATCTGATAATCTTACCTTCCAGACACCAAAGAGGGAAATCCTTTGCAAACTGATGGTAAATACATACATAACTACACTGATTCACCTAAGTGAATCACAGAGGCATTAAGAATTGTTTGTCTGCAGGAGATGGGATTGATGTTTCCATCATTCTCTCAAATGGGGACAAATATGGTAAGTAGGGATATAAACTCTAAACAGTTATATGTGGGGGCCATATGGATTGAAAGTGTGTAGGAAAAAAACAGACCTCAGATGGGATTTGGCTGAGCTTGCATCATTTCCTGTATAAGTTTGTCTCATGGAGGTCATTCACTGTTAAGGGATCCTTTATTAGTGTCATTAAGCCTATGCAAAAGTCTGCAAATTTCTTGTATTTCTGCTTAAACCACACTTGAATCTCTTTGATCAAAGATAACCAAAGTAAATCCAAAAAAGCATTCAAATGCAAAAAAAAAAAGCTTAAAGTAATCATGAATAGGGATTTTACCTAACATGTTTGTTTACCTCACAGAGGGCCAATGCAGCAGGTCTGAATCTGGAGCGCTTGTATGGGATGGCGTCGGAAAACACACTTCTGCCAGTGGCATCATATACACGGGAGACTGGCAAGAGGACAAAGTATGTTACCCATCTCTTTCCTTTTAATGTCCACTCCTAAAGGCTGCATGTCTTTCCTCTCTCCAGATGCAAGGCAGAGGGACCCTGCAATTTCCCTCTGGGGCTCAGTATGAAGGAGAGTTCAAAGACAACATGTATCACGGCTTGGGAAAATACATCTTCCCAGATGGCTCGGTTTATAAAGGCTGCTTTTGTAATGACAGGTAGTTTCTAGATTTCCCTAAAGCATTTTAGATGCAAGAAAGTCAAGGTTTGAGGATCTGAACTTGTGTTATACAGGCTGGAGGGAGAGGGGACCTTTACTGATGCACAAGGACTGAGTTGGACCGGAGACTTCCACGGTGAAGTGGCGCTTGCCCTCAAACTGCTGCATAACCTCTAGATGGATGGACCTGAGATCATTACACTAAAATCAAACTCATTAAAAAATAATAGTTTTGAGATTACATTTTGCTTTGGGTCAAGATATTTCAAGAAATTATGTCATGTTTATCACAAGCTTTTCAGAAAAGGGTTTGGTTAGGGAACCAAAACATGCTCCTATCCTGCAGCCCATTTCTAAATCTGGCTCTTTAGAACTTGTGCCAAGAGGCAAACAAATACCAAAACAAAACAAAGCAGAACCACCAATTTGGAGCTCTAAGCTGTCAAAAAGCTGAACTGCATGTTACTGTTTTCTAATAATTTTTCAGACTAATCTGTTCTAATTTCGTTGCATAAGTTAATTAACGCAGAACATCTACAGTTAAGCGGGGCAAATGTCTGAAATTAGCATGATAGGTCTGTAGCTTAGAGTCACTTTCTATGCCTCAGCACAGAAAATGTCTGTCTGTGTAAGCTTCATTTAACACATTGCATTATCACATGCGCTCCAGTTTGGCTCTGTTGGTACATTAGCTGTGACGCTACTTCAAAATCTTACACCAGGAATAATAGTGAAAAGTGTCATGAGGTTAATTCTGTATTCCTTCTTATTCTTCCCGACACAGACTGAGAGAAATTATATGACCTTCAGATTGTGTGCACATGGTTTTATATACAAACTATCCTAAAAATACATAACAAATAAAAAAACAAGCAAATCAAGCTTTTAGACACTGTTTATTAGGTAACTCTGATATTGTAATTTCTCCCTCTGTTGTATAATGCCTCTGTGGATCTGTAATTGCACATACCCCTATCCAGATTATACAGATATGGAAGAGTAAATAATAAAAAAAATAATACACACATATATGTATATATATATATAGTGTAACATCCATAGAGTTATACACACATCCTGTAAAATACTGTACCAGATACAAGAAACAGAATTTTTTTTAAATCAATTGTACAGATAAAAAGGATTAAAAAAAATAAAAAACAGTTGTATTGCAAACCCCCAGTAGTGATTCTATGGAAATCCATTCCTGCAACATGAAAAAAAAAAAAAAAAAGCCAAATAGAAAGTCATAATTATGAGTTTCAAAGTCATAATTATGAGATATTCGACGTTCAAATATTTTATCTCATATTTATGACTTTTTAACTCATAATTATGACTTTAAAACTCAAAAATAAGACTTTCTATTTGGAATTTTTTTCATGTGGCGGAAATGTGCTCCCATAAGTCAATGCAAACCCCATCAACATAATCAAATAGGAAATGGCACTCCAATTTGGCACAACATACAAAAACAAAATCTTTTAACTTAGCTGACACAAACAACTTCACAATCGTGCACACCCTTCAGTGCTGAAGTCCTCAAGGTCATCTTTTTTAGAACTGGACTTCGAGAGTGATTATTTATACTACTCGATGCAAAGTGAGCTAGATAACAGCGAGGAAGATGTTAAATGTTTTGCTATATATTATCTCAATAAACCTGAGAATATATACGGTATATATAAACTATCTTTAAACTACATATTTTCTTTTAGAAGAACATAGTGGTGTAACAGGAAAAATATCAAACAATGCAATAATGCTAGAAACATTTCAAAGTTATCTTGAAAGATAATAAACTGTTAACATCTTACCTGCAGTTTCAATCTAATCTACGTCTTTATTAATAAAAAAAAATATGCTTGACATTAAAGATGATAGCTTACCAGAGAAGGAACGATTTAAAGCAGATTTCTCTCACATGAAAACATCTCCAATCTTAAAAACGCTTTTTATTCTTCCTCACATTTACATTGTTACTTTTATGTGCACAACTGTCATTGATATCTACACTAGAATATGGATTTAGGGGCTGGTGACACCAGTTATCTTATGCTAATCATGATGGGAAAATAACATGAAAGCATTTCTGGTTAGATTATTTCAATTTTTTATGAAAATGAACAGCAGTTTAGGTTAATGCCTCTTTATAAATTTTTAGGGTTTGTTTCTGCATGCACATTTCACACAGGAAGATTATTGGTGCTGCAGAGTTGCTAAATTTAATCCTAAAAAAAAAAAAATTGGTCTTTGTGTAAAAGACTCTCAAACAGAAAATGGTTCTCATAAAAACAATTACATTGCTTTTTTATTTTAAATAAGACAGTAAAAAAGTGCATTGTTTTTAGTCTTTGTTTAAATAGGTTTAGCTTCAGCCTATGCAATCATAAAATAAAAAATTCATATTAAATGTATGCCCCTAGCATGTTTTCTACTGCAGGTAAGATACCGATCACATATTATCTTTCAACCTTAGCGTCTGAAAACTGTTGCAGAAAAGAACGGCGGTCATGCACAATTTTTTTACATAGAGGCGAACAGCCGAGCTTCAAAATGAGCTTTCTCCTGAATACAAAGATGCACATGTAGATGCAGAGAGGACGCACACTTCAAATGCCAATTACATCAAAAATGACCCTTTGTGCTTGTCTGTGTGCTAAAAAATGATACTGGATGCTTGGGAAACTTGCAACGCGAAGGAGAGAAAATACAAAAAAAGGTCAACAATTCTTGTTACAATCAAATCCCAGTATCAGTGAGCAGTTATATTTTGTGCTAAGTCTCTAAGATTTGAGAAATGTAGTTTGTTCAGCAGAAGCTTGGAAATATAAATCCTCAAAAAATTCCCTCATTCGATTCAAAAGGAGAAATTTCAATAAATTAAACTTGTTCAGGTGTTTTTATAGATTTAAAGAAGCTGAAGAGACAAATCCTAACAGCAAAAACGTTTTTAAATATTTTTTTTAATAAATTAATTCCAGGCCAGGCATCAGATGAAACAAAAAATAGTCACATTTTTTATTACAGCTTTAACTTTAGCAATTACCTAGCTTAGTTTATTTGGTGTATTTTGGCAGGTACCACATACAAAATTAATAATTATTTAGTTTCAGGCTTATCACCTCTCATTGTTTTGTTTTTTCTTAATTTTTTTTATGCTCCAAAAATAACCCTGAAGCTAACCTTGACATCCTCACTGACACAAAACACATTAACAAGTAATTAAATTGTGTGTTTAAAAATCTTTATGAATTCATAAATCAAAAGAAAAAAAACAGAAAAGGTCAAAAAATGCAAAAAAACAAACAAACCCTGAGTGATAAATAAAGGACTTTACAGGGGTGACTTTTTTTTTTTTTTGGCAAACCGGTTTAGAGCTTTTGGCGACATTTTCGGAAAAAGAAAAAAAAAAGTGGCACAAGAATTTATAAAATGACATTAGAATATTCAAGCTGCCCTGTATCATTATATATTATCATACATATTTATAGGACTACGCCCTTCAAAGTGAGATTTCTTACAGAGACACTTGCAGATCTTTAGTGCTGATATGTATCTCTGATAGAGGAACCTGTTTATAAGTTGAACAGTGCGTAAAAAGAGCAAGATCTCCTTTTAAAGGGTTATACTTTATTATTCAAGTGGTATTGTTTGATATTCATTTAACTCTTTTTTTTGTTTGCTTAATTTTTATAAACACCATCCATGAACAAACTTATATACTTAAAATTGGTAGTTTTTATTTCTTTTGTTGCTCCAAGGTCCCTATTTTATTACATGTAATATTTATGTAATAACTTTCTGTAAGAAAATGATGCATATTAAAAACGTTTCTATTAACTCCCTACGATCTAAAACCCAATAGTTTGTGCACTTCTTTTTGTAGAATAATATTAAAAGGACAGTTTTAAAACAGTTTTTTAAAGGACAGGGTTAAAAACGCATAACAAAAAACTTCAGGAAGGAATCAGAAGAGCACCGAGCTACGAAAGAAGACAGACTGGCCTTATTGGGGGCAGTGTGACTGACTGCTGTCACGCTACAACAATCACAATTATTTTTCAAATGCTACTTTCATCCTTATGTGCTTACATGGTCACAGTAGTCTTAGGCACATGTTAGTGAAACATTTACGTGTGCGGCATTAAATCGACCCAATCCTAACCTTGTTTTTCCTTTTACTGCATAGCCTGGGGTGAGACTTAAAACTGTTCCCTGTTTCATCAGCAAAAGTTAGATCATTTCTGTAACCAAAACCAGACCCTGAATCCGTCTGCGTCCCCCCATTACGGGTTCTGTAGGAGACCCTCCCACTGAATGGGCTGCGAGAACACCTCTCTTTCCAGCCACATCTCGTAGCTGTAGTGGAAGTCGTCCGGCAGCTCCACGCGCTGGCCCAGCACGCTCTGCAGGCAGTTGTCCACCGGCACAAAGTCTCCATTTCTGTTCTTATCATAACGCCGGCTGTTGAACTTCTCAATGCTCTCCCGAAGGGCGCACTCCTCTGCTTGGAAGTCCCAGGGCCGGGCATCGATGTCTAGGATAAAAAGCAGATGAAAACCATTGAATAAGCATTTATTCACATTTTAAATGTGAAATATGTGCCTGCATGTGCCTACATCCATCCATTTTTTTCTCTTTCCATCAATCTGCCTCTCTTATAGTGACAAATCACTTATTCTTCCATGAAGAACCGTGACCCTGAAAAGTCCCTCATCCGTGTTGCTATGGTAACGCCATTCAGACCGTGTGCCAGAGGCTGCTGCAGGATTATGTTTGAAAGCCCACAGGAATACTATAGCCAAAAACATTGTCAAAAAATGCATTTATTACAGTTTCTGTATAGAATAGATGTGTTGCATGTTTAACTAAACGTCTCTTTTTATTCTTTGGCATTTTTTCTGTTAGTTCTCTGAAGTCAGAAGTCAGTCTAGTGTCATGTTTTGACGGTTTATGTTTTTGTATATGTTTTGTATAAGTATCTTTGCAATATGCAACAAAATTTTAACTGTCATATTTAATTACTGCTGCCTTTTTTTAGCTCAATGTTATTTACAAAACAAAGTTGTATTCTTGATGCAAATGCAATGCAGAAATATTCTTTTATAATTCCACAAGGGCAAACACTAGAATCCAGAATATTAAAGTGACTTTCACAAAACAGAGATTGAAAATTTAGATTGATTCTTTAAATAAACGTGTTTTAGTAATCTGATTACCCTTCAGGTCAAACTAACTTCCTCACAAGGAAAAACTAAAGCAGATTTGTTTTTCACCGTTTCCGTAGGCCCAGTCGTCATTGAGCCGGTGGCGGACTTTCTGATAGATAGCTGACATGGTCTTCATGTTGCTCTTCCTCCACTGGCGGCCCAGGTACTTAGTCTGAATCTTCAGCAGCTTGAGAACGTAGAGCTGCATCATGGCCTGCTTGACCTTCAGAGCTCGTTTCAAGATGGGGGCTGACTTAAAAACAACCAACATCTGAAAAGGAGGAAGATATTGTAAAAAAAAATAGAGTTTAGTACATTCTAAATCCATCCATCCATCCATCCATCCATCCATCCATCCATCCATCCATCCATCCATCCATCCATCCATCCATCCATCCATCCATCCATCCATGTAAACAAATGCTGGCGCAACTGAAGTCAGATCCAGGGTTTTCATAAACCCGCACCATGGTCCTGGAGTGTTTCCACTTGGTCAGCTTGTTGAGGATCCTCAGCAGGTTGATGCAGGAGAAAAGGTTCCTCCAGCAGAACTGGTTGTTGTCTCCTGCTTCCTGAAAAAGCACAAAAACGCAGCCGCGTCGCGTCAGAGCGGCGCAGAGATCCTGACCGACCTTCGTCTAGCTCTCGCCTCACAGTGCCGTCACTCACCAGGCTCTCGGCAGTGAGCTCAGGCATCTCATGGACCACACAGTGGGGGAAGTCCAACACACATATACTGCAACACATTGCATGTATAAAACGGAGGACTTTTGAAATAACATTTCTTTAACTAGGATAACAAGCAGTTCCCACCTGTTTTTGGCACTGATATAGGACATGATGTTCTGGTTGAAGAACTTGAGGATCAGCGGGATGCAGTTGGCAAACACCAAATGCTGAGAGACTATTTCGAACTGCAGTTTAAAGAAAATGCAGAGAGTTGTTAAAGCAGAGCATGAAATTCCACTTGGTGGCAGCAGAGGGAGCCAACATCTTAACTCTAAACAGCAGCCAACTGAAGCAGCATGAACCAATGTTCCCTCATAGCAACAGAAGGTATCTGGGAGGGGTGCCTCCCCTCTTGAGTGGAAAGCAGTGAGGATGCAGGAGTGCGGTACCTGGTAGATATGATTCAGTTTAAAATGCTTGAGGAGGAGCAGCAGCAGCGCGGAGATGGCCTTGACGATTATTTCCTTGTGACGGTTCACGTCAATCCCCAGCTTCATGCTCTGTAGGACTGTGATGCTGCAGGATAGTCACACACCAGTCACACACTGAATATCCATGAGACTAATCTAAAGCCTTCATAATCAAGCAGCTATGCTTTCAAATATAAGGAAACATCAGATGTGTTTGTTCGTTTTTAGATTTTGACTATTTTTAAAGAGTGAAAATTATTCTTCTTACTGCAAACTTCCTGACAGAGACATACATAATAAAGATATTTCTCCTTAGACCAAAGACGCAAACAAGAAAAAACCCCAAAGGTTTTAAGACAGCTACAACTTTTTTTGTCTGGACAATTAGACAGAGAGTGAAGAAAAAACTGAAATATTACATGAAATAAAAGACACCTGATAAATTCAGTCAAACTTAATGACTCATGTTTTAATAGCTGCAAACACTGATTAACGAGGTTTCTACTCATCCAAACCAGTAACAAAACTGAATGTTTCCAGGTTTAGTATAGAGGCAGGAAATAAAATTATGGAGAAATGTTTGTATTTATTATAAAATAATAACAGTAGTTGAATTTTATTGATCTCACATTGTAGAAAATTACCTCTGCATTTAACCCTTCCCCTTGGGGAGCAGTGGGCTGCCATCGTGCGGCGCCCAGGGAGCAGTGTGGGGTTAAGGGTCTTTGCTCAGAGACCCAGCGTGACAGTCTGTGGGAGTGGGGCTCGAAAATCAGAACCTCTGGATTCCAACCTCTATCCACTAGGCCGCTACTCCCCAATATTTATCCTCTAACTCAGTGTTTCCCATCTTTTTTCTTGTGTACCCCTTTGGGCATTTTGTCTCACCATGAGTCCTCCTCTCACTCCAAAGTATTAAAAAATATTAAATTAATTAATTATTAATTATTTTACTTTGAGCCTTTCATTCTCAGGCACTGTATGCTTTCCATCTCAAAATAAAGAAAACCAATATAGATATGTTGCGTGGAAGTTGATAAAGTCATGTTATAAAACTGTATCTATAAAACTGGAGTTCCTCTGAGTAACTCACATTTAAACTTGATGAATTGGGAACAAAAATTATAGTCAGACTGATTTAATTAGTTGTATTTGTTTTCATCCAAACACAAAACACCTGAGCTGCTTTTATGAGCTCTGATAGCTCAGTGTGAAAATGTTAATATTTTCATGTAACCCTTGCAATGCCTTTGCATCCCAAGTACCACCAGTTGGGAATCACTGGTCTAGATCATGGCCTAAATGTTTTATTTTCTTGCCTCTTCTTCCTCTCTTTTATTTAATGTCTTTTCCTTCCTCGTTTCCTTAGATTTTGTATCCTTTTCTAGTTTCCTCATTGTTTCCTCCTTCTTTGTGGTTTTCTTACTCCCTACCTTAAGCTCTTCATTTTTTCCATAATATGTTTAATTCTCGTGTTCTTTCTTCCTTCGCTTGTAGTGTTTTATTTATTTATGGTGTTAAAATGAACAAAAATGAGAAAAAAAAAAAGGAAAAATAAGCTAGGAGGAAAATGTATAACATCTGCAGATAGAAAAGTCTTCTCTTACGGCATCTCCTCGGGCAGCACGTCAGCCAGGATGTTGATGGAGTCAGTTTTGGCTTTGGAGGTGGGAGCCGCTGCCAGGAGGAGCTTAAGGAGGGCGATCTGACAAAAATAAGAAAACAAGCACATTTTCATTGCTTTAATTTTCACTGGTTATAACTTAGATTACAATCTAAACAAGCACAGCAGCAAATGAGAAAAATTGCAGTTTTAAAGCAAACAGACGACTCAGAGCTGATATGAAGCGGCTTTCAGAATCACCGCCTATGCAACTAAACATTAGTTCAGTCTTTAAAATATATGTTTAGGTTTTTAAAACTTTATATTTTTGCCTCACTTCCTCTTCCTGTGAGAGAATGCCTATTTCAGGTGTGCGAGAGGGTGCACCAGCGCATTTATCCTCGTGCACGCTCTGTTTACAAGTTTCTTTTTGCATCGCTCATACAGACGATGGTGCCACTGATTTATATTTTTTTTTCTGTGATTTTCTCATTATGTGCAGCAACAAATACTACAAATGTAGGTTAGAAGCTGCGATTTAAAGCTACAGTGTGTAACTTTTAGCGACATCTAGCGGTCAGACTGCAGACTGCAGCAACATGAACATCTCCCCCCCACCGCTTCTCCCCCCCAACAGTACGGCGAGCGTTACGGGACAAAATGTCTTCCACGACGTCCGCATCACCTACCTTCTCAAGTGATGAGGTTTGTTTACATAGATAATTTTACAGATAGTATTTCATTAGTCTGTGTAGGGTATAGATTTCATGTAGACTTAAGATAATAAACATACCCGTTATTTTTTCTACATCGTTGTGACGTTTTGGCGATCTCGCAATCACTAGTTTGTTGGCTCTGCGATGCCGGAGCGCAAAGATGTCTGCCTCCATGGCTGCGAGACCCGCTCCTATGTAATTATAAATAACAAATTCTACCGCAACGCAAATATTAAGGTTAAGAGGCTGAGCTCGTAGATGATGATAAATAACATAGTTATGTATAATATATTACATTTCTGACTGTATATCCCTGTAATTATTACACACTGTAGCTTTAAAGAAGCTCCTTGCATCATCTGAACAATGACTGACAGCTGCTGCATTTAGTCCAGGGTTTCTGAATCCTGATCCACAGAGCCAACTGTCCTTCATGGTTTAGATGTGCCTCTACTCAAGAACACCTGGTCCGAATTACTGCATTTCCTGCCCAGTCCTCAAATGCTGCAAAAGCCTGTTAATTACCTTTTCATTCAGGTCAGGTGTGTGGAGGCAGAGAAACGCCTAAAACAAGTAGGACACTGGGCCCTAAGGACCAGGGTTAAGTAACCCTGCTTTAATCAACACATGTTCCCTACTTTCTCAGGGCTATAATGATTTTCTCTGCATGTTTTTCATTTTTTTATGCAAAAATAAAGCGGTCCTGAAATTTTTATTTTTATTTTCTGGGATAGTGTAACCCTGTTTAATTAAATAGTAGTTTAGATTTTATTTTTGATAAATTCAAGTATCATTTCTTTTAGCATCAAACCTATTTTGTAGCAAATTGAAGGCGGTCAATGTGCAACAATATAGTGTTATAAAACATTTTTTTTGTTATAAAGAAGAAGCATCATCACATCTACATAATCATATTTCAACTCACTTTTAAAACCACACACATCAAAATTGTGCAGATAAGTTTTAAATGTTTTCAGATACCTAGAGCTCTTAGTTATTATTTAATTAATAACAAAAACCTTATTTTTCATAAATAACACTTTAGTTGCATTTAAAATTCAAATAAGAAAATTCTTCGACACTTTCAATCATAAAAAGTAACTACAGGATAACGAGTTACTTTCACTGAGTTACTAACTCAGTTCCTTTGTTGGAGAACTAACTAGTAACCATAACTAGCTGCTTTTTTTAAAAGAACGTTCCCAACGCTGCAGGCCATGTAAGCCTAAAAGCTCACATCGCCACCTATTGGTGATATTGCAGCTTTTCCACAGCCTGAACCAGCTGAGGCTGAAATAGTCCAGCAATATTCATCAGGGCCACTCACCACATACTGCGAAAGATTAGGAAGCATTCCCACGTATAAAATCTCCGCTGGTGTCTCCTCCACCTCCTCCTCACCCTGTCGACACAATAAGCACTATTTTAACTTCCTAACAGCACCGAGTTTAACTTAGTTTTCATTTAAGACACAGCAAAGATGAGTGAGAAGAAGCTGCTCCAGCTCACCAGGCTGAGCGGACACTGCAGGAGCTCCTCCTCCCTCTTGATCTGGATCTCAGATATGGAGACATACTTGTGCTGCACGACAGAAGGAAAAACAGGCAGAGATTCAATCAGCTGTTGCTAACAGCTCCATGAGCTCTTTGGGAGGAATGGATTTTATTGATTAACACAAGGGAGTAACAAAAGAGAGTAACTAATATCAGCAGCGCTGTGAGTCACTCATGTGTGTCAGGCTGTTCCATTTTATGTTCATTTTAGGAAAGGATAACCTGTGGATTAAAACAAAAAGCATTTTTAAAGGTATAGTGGAGGATGTACTTTTTCCAGGTGGATCATCTAAATAAGTGGTCCTCCTAATTGTCAATCATTCTGGTGACATGTTTATATAAGGTCATCCTCATCCCTTTCAGGCGTATATCTGTGGTGAGCTACGGTTTCAGGCAGCCATTAAAGCTCACCCCCCTCAAAGTGGTTCTTTCAAAATGGCCGAGGTTTGTAAGAGAAAAAGTGTCTACAAAAGAAAAAGAAAAGAAAAGCCTCAGAAGAAGCAGATATATCCCAATATGCTTTGCGCGGAGAGCTCTCCTCGCAAAGCATTGTGGGATTTGCTGTCACAGCGACCTGCTTTTCGCCATAGGCTGTCGCTACCCGACAGCGGCGACTAATAACAAAGATGGCGCAGGCACAGCGCAGTGGAGGAGGAGTTACGTGACCAACGGGGAGCAAAAAGCAGTGATCATCCGCCTGAACGGTAAGTTAACTGAGTTCACAATAAAGTCCACTATATAGTCCCCGCTCTATATGGTGATCAGGGGATTTAGCAGGTACAGGGTTGGGTATGTGCATTTTTTTTAAAAGTGGAGAGGGCAGGTATTTTAAAAAAATCGCAAAAATCCTCCAATATACCTTTAAATAATGATTTTATTCACCAAATTAAAAAAAGATTTTAAAACCAACTTGACCCTGTGTGAAAAAAAAAAAAAGATTCTACTCAATCATGACTTCATCAAGATACATTAAATCTCTGTAGAATCAATCATCCTAATTAACAGAATCTAACAGGCAGCATGAAGTAGGACGCCGTAAAAAAAAGAAACACAAAGTTGCTGATGTCTATCAGCCTAGAAAGGGTAATTAAGCTATTATCCAAAATTATTCCTGTTTTAGGATCTGGAGCAGGACGTTCCACCTACCAATGGTTCAAAAATATGACCTTGACCTAGTCAAAGGGTGCACTTAAAGATGCTGTAACAGGATCCTAAACCGCCAGTTCACATTTGAACACCCCCCAATTCAAAATAATTCTGCTACTGATCTACCAGACAGATGCAAATGGGTCTTTTCATCTTCTGCTAGTTATTAAGTGTAAGGCTCTGGATTTATTTAGCTTTTTCTTGGTCCCCTACACTCCAAAAATGACTGAAAAAAATGAGGGAAAAAAAATCTTAAAATAAGTGTATTTACCCTTATTTGAGAAGGTAAATAAGATGATCTGCCAATGGAATTTGTATGTTTACCATTAAAATAACATAGAGACTGAAGTTGGTTTTTTTTCTCTTATTTTTTAAATGTAAATTGTCTTAATTCCATTGGCAAATTGTCTCACTCGCTCAGTTCAAGAAAGAATGCACTTATTTTAAGAAAAATTGATTCTATTAGATTTCAATTTTTTTTTTGCAGAGTAATGAGTAAAATTACCCAAAAAAGTATTTAAATGTGGAAAAAAAAAAGCCACAACATAAATAATCTGGGGGTGAGATGGTAAGAAACAGAGAAATCAAAGTGTAACGTTTGCTGACTCACCTGTTTGAGGGTCTTAACACTCTCATGGATGGGTCTGGGTAACCCTACCAGGGTCTTTGTGTCACTAAAGGAGAATAAATTGTTAAATGTGACCTACAATGAAAAAGATCTACCTTCCTGAGAGACACACCTACCTTCCCAAAGTAAAACCAATGAACTTGTTCCTACTGGTCTCCAGGAAGTGCTCAATGTCCTTCTCCCTGTAAACACAAAGACACATCTCCTAAAACGCTTCACCATGAGGCGCCGTTTGAATCTGCACACGTCAGGTTCTTAAAGAGAAACCCAGAGGCTAGGTGTTCTGATAGAGCATGAAAAATGCAGTGCTGTGCTGAGATACAGCCTGCAGAGACACCCAGGCTGCTCTTTGAGATACACAGATGGAGAGCATATTGCTGTGTAAGTGTGAAGAGAGGAACCTTTTTTTTTCAGATCTTATTTTAACCTCTAAAATGCTGGCAAATAATAAAGGAAGGTAATTTAGTCCTGACACAAGGGAAATTGACATGTTTTCATTCCCAGTTTAATTTAAAAAGGACTAATACTACTACTGGTCAGTGATCTAAAACCTCTTTTAGGCTTTTATTTTCCTGAAATCCAATTAAAAGTCAAACCACAAAAATAAGTAAAAGAAAGATCCACTAACCTAACTTTTGGGGCCCAGGGGAGGCCTTTGGGGAAGTTGACCCTCTCTGTGGGGGGTCTCAGAGGAGGCGGGGGCGGCGGAGGCTGGATGATGACGTCTCGGTCCAGCGGGTCCACCTCCCCCTCGATGCCGCTGTCCGTGTCCTCCGGGTCCTCCTCTTCATCCCGGGCGTCATCGTTTTTAAAGGGGTCCCGCTCATTGTAGGTGTCCAGGCTGTCCTGCTTGACCAGGGGCTGGAGATGTGGGGGGGGAGCAGAGGACAGGGGGTCAGCGCTCATAGATATATTAATGGGAAACGAGGAAAGTCTCTCCCAATTTAACGAAGCTGTAACCTGCTATTATGATAATTATTGTCTGCTAATATTCAATCATTTAAACTAAGTTCTACTAATATTTCATTTTTTCACACAGCTGATTTAATTTAAAAAAAGGGCCAATTTAGATTAAGGAATGGAGCGTGTATTTACCAAGTGACAACAAGGACATTTTGAATCATTTCTTTCTTTAACAGGTGCAAAGAAAACAACAGCAGGATGAAGGAGCGACTCTCAAACTCCCACGAACATCTGAGAGGAGGACAGACTCAATAACAACAGCACCTGTTTGGAGGAGTTATTTATTTTTCCAGATTTGCATAAAATGTCAAAATAATCAAATATCCCAGTCGCTGATTAGAGGGAGTAGTTGGTGACTGTTGAGACAAGAGTCAAGCTGATATTTATTCCTTTAATTAAACTTGAAAAAGTGCGTTTGAAGAGCAGAACAGAATTGCTAGCAGTTCTAGAATCCAATCATTTTTATAAAACTGCCCACATCCTGATGCTGCCATCGCCGTGCTTTACCAAAATCTGCACCAGTCTGTAGACTGGGAGCTCTCAGAAACCAGATGTAGTTAAAACAATGAAAAGGGGTCCAGGTCTCTACATAAACAAACAGCCTTGAAACTGTTCTTATTTTTTTTTTTCACTGCACTGTCAAAATCCTCGAGGATAGCTCACCCTCATCATGATGCTGCCTTCATCATGCTTGACTGATTGCATTTTGACTCACATAGTATTTATGGCCAGAAAATTTTAAAACAAAAATGTATTTTATTACAGAATCAAACCCAGTTTTTCTGAAGCTCAGAGCAGAAAAACAATCCCCCATCATGATACTGACACTGCCGTGCTTGAATGTAATCCGCAACAATAAACAGTATATGTGCTTCTTAAAGGAGCTTCCTGTTTTTCAGGGAGATGCTAGAATTTAATAATGCCTCTTCTATTGGATTTAACATAAGCTAAGAATTTCCTCATTATTATACATCCTCCACCGTGCTTGGCTGACATCAGCATTAATATAGAGCTTGTTTTCCTGTTTCGCATTGGATTTATTCTCCTCATATAGGTGTAAATGAAATTCAGACAGAGCTAAACTAAGAACTGCTAGCGCTAAGCTATCAAGCAGAGCTAACTGTACTTTTAGTGGACGTCATGTTCTCCATTCAGCTGTAATGTTTTGGAAAGTAATTGCATCCAGTTCTTTTTCCTTGTAAAATGTCCCCACATCAAGATGCTGCCACCACTGTGCTTTAATATATGTAAGAATGTTACTTTTTCTCAAACCTTTATGATTATAAAGTAATGGAGGCTTACAAAAGTAAGCTGAAGTTACTCAAATGAAAGGTTTAATTGACTATTCTGGTAGAGTTACTGGTTTTGATCATTTTTTTCCTCAAATCAATCATAATTCTTGATTCTTATATTTTAAAAATACCATCTTTGGATACGGAAAGCTGGTAAAGAAGCTCAATTCGTTCAAAAGAAAAAAGAAAAAGAAGACATTTCCACAGCAACCAAATGTTGATTTTATTTAAACTTACCACACACGTGCACGTCAGAAGAAACAGGCACAAAACTCAAGCAACACTGAGTTCCCGTCTACAAACAATCCCATTCCAAGTGTGAACCACGCAAACTTACAGTGTCTGAATGGCAACATGGCAAGCATCAGGCATGAAGTAAGCTCTCTGGCTGCTAGCTGAACTACTGCAGCTGATGTATGGTGAGCCAGGGGCGCTGCTAAGTGACTAGTACATGGACTGTGCGTGGTGGGAAGGAGGGAAGGGGATGAGAAGAGAGGAGCAGGTGGAGCCATTCTGTATGGAGAAGCCATTCTCTGCTAAGTGAAAAGGTAAAGCTAAAGCTTTTCTACCGGGTTAGGAGGGCCACCGCTTTCAATTACATCCGGTTGAGAGCTGAGTCTACTTCTGGAGAAGTGAAAACTAAAAATGTAGCCAGATTCCCTTCTCAATGAATGCATTTTAAAGAAAGTGGCCCCTTGAATAAACTCTACAGAGCATGGTGTTTGGTTTTAAATCTAAAAACTAGTTGAAATGAGATGAAAACTAAAGGACAGATGCTCCTAAAGTGGAGGTGAACCGTCTGTATGGGGGAGTGGAAAATGACCACTCAGGAGCCAATGGTTACAGCCAACAGGTCAGCCCTATCCCACCAACCCTACTACCCACAGCGGAGAGGGAGAAGAAATAAGGCAAAAAAAAAAAAAGAAGAGGAAATGATAAGAGAGGGTAGGATACTAACAAAAAGAAGGAAGAATAGAGCTGTGGGAGTGCAGGGAAGTGGGTGAGCAGTGCAAAAAGGCTAGCTCGGTGCAGAGAGGAAATGCAGGAGGAAAGAAAGGGAATTTGTGGGTAAAGACCTGCTTCTTGGGAAAGGGACTGTCTCCTTCCAAGCTATCAACAAAGGCACTCTGTGGGGACAGAAGGAAGAGGGGCAATGAGAAACCAGAGGGTAGTTAGAGCTCAAATGAAAAAAATAAAATGAAAAAAAAACATAGCAGAAGCTGGGAATCCCTCAGCGGCGCAGGCACCAAGATCATCTGTGGTCACTGACTCACAGCAGGGAACTGATGATGTTGGCATCTAAGCAGTTATAGAAAAGCCGACACTGCAAAGAGACCTTCCATGCTAATGAAGGGTTAACTATTAGTAGAACGGCTGAGCTTTTTGTTGGGAGGGTGTTCAGTGGCTGTACCCTGCGGCTGCGCCGGCCTCTCTTCTGCTGCTGCTGCTGCTCGATGAGCTCCATCGCCGATGCCGGGGGAGACGCCGCCCTCATGGCTCTCACCACCTTGATGCTGTCCTCCGGGAGCGGCGGTAAGCTGAGGCGCTCCCGGGCTCGCACCTTCATCTGCTGGAGCTCCTCGAACCCGCCCAATGTAAACTACAGAGAGGGAGCACAGAACACAGTGAATCTGGGGTAAATTCACTGCATCCCCACAGCATGATGCTGCCACCATCGTGTTGCAAGACATAAAATGTAATGCGGTTCGCTCTACCCACCAGAACTGTTTTCCACAGCAGCAGCAGCACTTTCTTCATGGGGAAGTGAGGCGCGTTCATGCTGCAGAACTTGGTCACCATGGTGAAGAGGAGCAGAGCGAAGGGCTCTCCGTTGTAAAGAGGCGAACCTGAGGGTGGCAGGAACATCTGCGAGTATTAAGCGCTGTGCTATAGAGGTGTTACACAAAAACAAAAGCGCCCCATGTGAACACACACCCAGCTCAGTCTTGAAGGCCTCTCTGGCTGCCCTCCACTCTGGCCGGTCATCTTCTGTTTGGACGCGAATCGTCTCCACGATCAGATACATGATGCTCAGAAGCACTCTGAGGGTTTTAACACAACATGTATTATTAAGACACTTCTATCACCCTCGTTATGTCAAACAAATAAAACTTTAATATAAAGAATTACCCCTTTTATAATTAATATTTAAAAAACACTTAACACTTTTAAGACCTTACAGAAACTATATGATGAAAAGACGGATGGCTCTGAATTC